TATATATATATATAGTGGATAGGCTTCAAATGTAAGCGCAATTTTAGCCGATACGTGTAAATTTTCACCCAAAGTGCGACCGCATCTCGCGGGATTGGTGGATAATAAAATTGCTTCTGAGCTGCAGACTCTTCTATTACATGATTTTAGCTTTCATACGGAGTGTTTCAATCTGTCGGCCCTCAAACGGTTCGGCTTTGTGAACTTCCAAGACTCAGAAACTCCATGTACACATTAGTAAAATTCTACCCACAGAGGCTGCACTCCCTTATTGTCGTTTTTAATGGGTTCATAGGCCTATTCTCTGTGTTGAGAAAAACCTGTGGGTTACCCTAAGACTCTCTTGGTTTTATTGATCCTTCTCGTTGTTTTGTGATTTCGTAAATGCTGTAGGCTGCACTATATTGTGTGTCGTATGCTGTTTCACACGTTTTGCGGCCTGTTCCCTTAAAACTACTTTGTTCATATCAATCAAGGGATCCCTAGTGCTTAAATCTACTGATATTTCCTAATATGGATAACAGCGGTACATTTATTCCTAGCTTTCCAGCAGTCAATCGCCTTGTTTCATTTGATAACCCCAAATTTTGCTGACGCATTATGCGTTTGGGTAGTAATTCATCGTTAATTGAACGCTGGTGAGCTTAGTAAACACTTTCGACTTTCAAGGACGATTGGGACTTGTGGCTACTTCCCTTTGGAGCCATGTCCACGCAGTTTTCGAACAATTTTTACGCAGTACGCACGAAACTACTGAAGTATCACGCAGTATTTTTGGACAGCGTGAAACGTAATTTGGGTCACGTTATCGACGCACTCGATAACCAGATTGGAGCAGTTTTGGAAATGCATTATCCTTGTGAGTTAATCTGATACGTAATTTGGTCACGTTATCGACGCACTCGATAACCAGATTGGAGCAGTTTTGGAAATGCATTATCCTTGTGAGTTAATCTGATGGCACCCAGTGAGTGTAACTACTGTGATTTCAAACAGGATTCACGCCTAACAATGGACCAAGATTTGAACATGATCACTGCAGTTTGATCTCATTGAAGGACCAAACGTGACTCGTGATTATCTTTCGTGAATGGAAAATCTTGATTTATTGGGAGAACCACATTAATTGAAGGATTATCCTTAAGCTCGATAGAACTTTGTCAGAAGTTTCTGTCATTAAATGGTCGTCTTATCCAGGCATACCGAGTTTACCTTGTGTCGGAACAAAGAGCTCGGGATTATTCGGTTCATTAACTTTGGTCCATTCAGAGTTGTCTAAACATACATAATATCCGGTAGTTTTGATGCCTGATCTGTATGTGACTGTCCGGTGGACACTATGTTCAAGAATGCTGAATTTAGAGACGAGGGATCAAAAATATCGCAAGATGGGCTCAGAATGACGCCTCTCTGGTCCACTGGGTAAACTCATAGTTAGCTGGAAAGTACTGCCATGTGATGAGCGTGGAGAAAATGCTCTAAATCATTAGTAAAAGATCGTTTCCACGAACGAACGCTTGACTACACCGATCAAAGAAGTGGAACCATACGATTCAATTCAGAGAACATAATGCGCACTACATTTGCGTCAATTTCCATTGTTTTTTCAAAAATTACTTTTCCTCCAACAGGGCGAACTATTATCAATGAATGTACTTTAAGACCATCAGGCGAAAATTTTCAAAGTCAAGTTCGCAATTATGTGTGAGCGGACATAAAACCTCACTTTGCATGAAGGTAGTTTTACGCAACAGTGCACTTCAAGCTATTAATTCTTGATAGTTTTCGGGTAAGTGGCTGGACAACAGTTTGGCGAAGTGTTTCTGGCAACACACTAGTAGTGCTTGAGGAGTTACTCAAGCATACATCTAGCCAAATCAACCTTAATAGCGTCCCTAAGGAATACCTGACTCAGTCAATTATTCTTGACGCAAAATCTCACACAGTCGGCCGATCAATAATTGCATTTGTTTGTATTCGTGAGCTCTATCATTGGCTGTAATGATACAGGCTGATTATGGGCCAGTGTGCTCTAACTTTGCCTAATATTTAGACGATTCAATCTGTTTTCTTTTTCTGTTGAAATGTCAGTAAAATACTCTCTGTGCAATTTCTCATTAAAGCAACTCTGGTTCAGTCAACATTCCTCTCCACTGAAATGCAGCAGTAATGTTGAAAGTTTTGAGCCAGTATGCTTTGTTTGAACTTTGTTCCATTCTATTCTCTCGTAAACGCATCACCTGTGGTGGGACTACCTGACCATCATGGACCATTTGTGCGGTTGGCATGCTACAATGACCTAAACTGAACTCCCGTACGACTAAGCAAGTGCAATTCTTCAAGCATACACAAATATACAGGTGGCACACTATTGAAATATAACTCATCATACAGCCATATCAGTTTGTGTTGGTTGTGAAAGATAATCTGCCCTAGACACCCGATTAAGGAACAGCGTGGTGCAAGCTCTGAAGAAGCTCTGGAGTTTTGACAGGTCCTATTTGAACCGTCCACCAGGTTTACTGAGATGTGAATTCCAGAAGATTGAAGGAATTTGCCTCATGGTTTGAGACTTTTATGAGCGAACCTTGATAATTTTCATAGAATTGATTTCTGGGACTCGATGACAACCTCGACTGTCTGGACAGCGTGCTTGGACTGCTATTGGGGGGCGGTCGCGTTCGTGAGGATGTACTTCTGGATTTGGATAGCGTTGGAGTAAAAGCGGATTGATCGATGGTATAATACACATGTCCAGTATATTTAGGGGTTATACAGGATTAAACCTCCAGTTTAGATGCTAGGAGCACTATCTTACATGACGGATGATATTCGAATTAAGAGCGAAAACATTCTCAGGATACATCTTTACCCAGCCTCTGAGTAACCCCCGCAGGCGCATTCATTGACTGTACAACCATCCATCTCTGACCTAAGTGTAGTGTAAATGTAACGTAACCGTCACGGAGAGACCGGACCTTACCGTGGTGTGACGGTTTGCGCACCTCACCGATCCATTGGGCCATATTGGGGGCTGTCCTCGTGACACTCACAGAGTCTCTCATACCAGGTTGGTCAATGGTTAGAGGTTTGACGAACACAGTCTCCTTTTCTTCCAGGTTGGAGGTTGGAACATATGGTGACTGTTTCGTAGAAATGGTAGTGCATTTGCATTTCCCGTCAAACACCGCTGCATTGCGGTTAGGCTTTTGAGCCAAAGGCTTTGGTTGTGGACCCTACTCGTTCCCCTGTCTAGGTGTAGGCGCCCTGGCAGAATCCCAGCCCAACAACGACACTTACAACCAACAATACGCTCACGCCACATCGGCCGTCGCGTGGTGCCGTCAGCCGGGTCGCCCTAGTTGCTGCATACAGCAGGACGGGTAAACGAAAACAGGCTACTACTGACGTCCGTCTTCTTTCTCTTTTACTTGCTTTTTCTTCCCACTCCCCTTCCCACTAATCACTCTATCCCTGTGGCATCCACAGTGGGATCAGCTTGACTCCGGTTGTAACGAGACTGTTTGCATCAATTGTACTTCGTCGCTTTACGGTGGCTTGTGAGAAACTGACTCGAGTGCAGCAAGCGGGATTTCGGCCTGGTAGGGGTTTCTTTGACCAAATCTTCACAGTCCGTCAGGTGCTAGAACGGCGCCATTCGGATGAGCGACCCACAATTCTAGTGTTCCTGGATTTCCAAGGTGCATTTGATTCGGTTGATCGGTGTGTTCTTCTTGACCCGTTTGCCCACCAAGAAATGCCCCGGACGTTTGTGAACATAATACGTTCTTTGTATTCTCAGACTTCCTGACATGTAAGAGTATACGGAGAGCTCTCCAAAAAGCTTCCGCCCGTCAGAGATGCTCGGTCTCTCCGTACCTTTCTAACTTCGTCATTTTTGAGATAATGAGAGAAAAGCTGGGAGCTCTCGAAAACCCTGGTGTTCAAATAGCCTGTGAAGAAAACCTTGTTGATCTAGAGTTCGCAGAGGACATCGTTCTCATCTTCGAAGACGAGAGGGCGCAGGTGTTTTTGGATGAACTGACCAACGTCATCCCGTCCTTTGGTATGCACTTTGCACCCACAAATGTAATGTCATACTCGTGAACGTGCAGTCACTGAGGGCGTCACTTACAATCCAGTGGGCGGTACTGGAAGTTGTGGAGCGTTTCACATATCTTGGAAGTTGTATTAGTCCTGATTGTAGTGTGGCAGATGAAGTCAATTCACGAATCTGCAGAGGCCGTGTCGTGTTTGCTAATTTGCGACACTTATGCCGTCAAACTGGTGTATCCCTGAATCTCAAGGGACGTGTGTATCAAACTACGACGGGGGCTGTTTTGTTTTATGGCTGTGAGATTCGGCCTTTTCGAACAGCGGAACTGAGACATCTTGGGGTGTTCCACAATCGTTGTTTCAGAACCATTACTTGTCTGGTTCGTGTGTCGGCGTATCCGTAACTAGGCCATTAGAAAGTGATTTTTCGGTTGTGCGACGGGTACTCTCTTTGAAGAATGTGTCCAGCATCAGAAGCTGAGTTGGTTAGGACATGTATTGCGTATGCCTAACTATCGTTTGGCGAAGAGAGTGCTGTTTTCCATGCCCAACTCAGAGTGGCGTAAGCAGAGAGGTGGCCAACCCTTGACTTGGCGGAGGAGTATGAAGGAGATCACGAAACGCTTGGGTGATGTCGGTGCTACTCTTTTCCAGGATGGGGACCGCGTGATTGTCACTGCGCCTGGTTGGGGACATTGCAGGATATGTCTGCCAACCGATGTCAGTAGCGGATGCATGTGTCCTGACCCTCCTCAGGTGAAGGGGTGAAGTGCTCTAATTCCAAAAAACTGCGGTCTGATTGCGGTAAGCTATCACTAAGTCTCTCCCTTGTCCACATTTACTATTTTCTTTACAATAAAGCTTTCAAATAAATCATGGTTGTACGGCAGTGAAGCATCGGTGTTGAACACTGATATCATGCTGTCGATGATGATGATGATGATTTAAATGTAAATTACCATCTGCGCAGGTCAACAATCTTCAAGAGAAATCATCATGCGGAATGCTCCGAGCCTGCGGAATAATATATTGAATCCGTTTCGACCTCGTTTATCTAGGTTTCCATAGGTCATAGCAGTTGGACATTCAATGACAATTGGTCGGGCAATCAAACATGAGTATGAAAATCGACTGAAGTTTCGAAATGAACCCGGTCCATACTTTGAGTTTGACTATCGTGTACATGGTTTCATGGCATTATCTTAGAGTAACACTCATTGGGTCATGTGGACATTTCCTATGCTGCTTAGGAGTGACGTGGTCACCGACATTTAAGTTTTCAGGCATCAGCAGAACAACTGGTGGTATGCTGGAGCCTCTTGAAATACCATTGGTCGAGACCTAGGCGATGGTTATTGTGGCGGAATATTTGTTGCCACCGGAGTATATTTTGAGGCAAATTATAAGCATCATGCAGCCACGAATTGGTTCGCTTAGTCGTCCAACATTATTGACTCATGAGTTTCACTCACTATGCGTGTGCGTGTCGATCAGCTGCGATCTACGCATGCCACCCAGGCACGACCGGAATGTGTTCTGATTGGTTTACCTGCGGTTGTTTTGCCCGTTGATTGTGCAGCATTCACAAAGGAAGCATTATTCAGTTACTATATTAGGAGGTACAGAACTTTTTACGGAGCTGATTACTGGAGATGCTGTTTTGAGAGTTATGGTGAAAACAGCCGTGACCAATTCCATTTCAGTAACGAGTAGTAGTAACTGTGGTCAGTTTTACAGCAACGCGTTACCAAATCTACAATTTGACTGGTGTATGAGAAAGGATAAAGAGGTTCCTTGTTTTTACTAGGAATTTAGGTACTGCTTAGATCTGATTTGTAATAGAAATCTAGCTAAGGAGTTCCGTTAAGTTGCTTCTACGTTGTGTTGTCCTGCAAGCGGTACACCTAACATTCAACTTTACGTGTTTAGTTCACATGTTTTTGTCTTAAGCTGGCTGGATGCGAAATTCGGCCGGTCAAATTGTCCCACAAGTCTAATCTCAGATGGAAAGTTGGAGAGAGATGTGGCAAGCGGATAGAAGGTAGACCGAATCCATTTTTCGTTCACGCCATGTGTACCCGGACTTTCCAGTTTGCGACTTACCAACTTTCTATCTGCTTTCTTTAACCTGAGGAGATGAGTTGGTCTGACGGAACTTTAAAGCGAAATTCTGCCTATAAATGCCCTACAATATTCGCGAATGGTCTCTTCAGTTACGTTTCATGAGTCCCGTGCAATTACTCTTATGCTGTCACTCACAGCAGCTATGATTAACTACAATGACTTAATTAGTTATTTTTTTAACAATCCAGCTTTCGAATTTCGTTGTTTATATTTAATAGTGTGTGTGTATTTGATGACACACATAGAGGTACTCTGGCAAGAAGTATTTACATGAGAGAACAACTAATTTACCACAAAGTGTCTTTCGACTTGAACACTCCATCTTAAAGAACGTTTGATAAAAACCAACCTAATGAAATTGCGCTCAGTATTGTCCAGCTCAGATCTTCACATATGACCAATACTACCTGAGTTTATTAATCAATCGACAACACCGAGCAAAGTGGTGAGGAAAACAAGGCTGTGGGATGAATGCATTTCGTACACTATGTTCCGCGGCAAGACATGAAAAACAGCACATTGTCATGTGTGGTTTGTTCACTGATCTTGGAAAGTTGATTTCAGATATTCAGTTACCAATCGAGGTGATATCATCAGCGCGTTGCTGTGATGCGTAGCGATAAGTCGGTGGTTGTTTTTGAGGCATTTGTGTTTGTGTCAATATTCTACTCAGTAGCAAGCGTAAGGCACATGGTACAGTGCAGCTTACAACATTTATAGTGTTAAGATAACATAACCGATCAATAAAAGCAAGGCAGCCCCATGATGATTAATTTTTTATGAGAGTAGAGCACAGCCACAAGAACCTTCAACCTGTTGATTGCTTATCGGGTGGCTAATAGTTTGTTCACCGAGCATGGCAACTGACTTGAATCCGCAGGCATTCATGAAAGAAATAGAGTTGTTGTGTTGAGGCTTGTCGGCAGGCGAAAGTCTCCCATCGACGGGCTGTTTTGAGCGTGAAACTCCAGAAGGTGGTAGTAATGCAGTTGGATCGAGTGAGTTTATTGGTTGGTGATCAGTCGGCTGTGATATCATGCGTTGCTGTGATGCGTAGCGATAAGTCGGTGGTTGTTTTTGAGGCATTTGTGTTTGTGTCAATATTCTACTCAGTAGCAAGCGTAAGGCACATGGTACAGTGCAGCTTACAACATTTATAGTGTTAAGATAACATAACCGATCAATAAAAGCAAGGCAGCCCCATGATGATTAATTTTTTATGAGAGTAGAGCACAGCCACAAGAACCTTCAACCTGTTGATTGCTTATCGGGTGGCTAATAGTTTGTTCACCGAGCATGGCAACTGACTTGAATCCGCAGGCATTCATGAAAGAAATAGAGTTGTTGTGTTGAGGCTTGTCGGCAGGCGAAAGTCTCCCATCGACGGGCTGTTTTGAGCGTGAAACTCCAGAAGGTGGTAGTAATGCAGTTGGATCGAGTGAGTTTATTGGTTGGTGATCAGTCGGCTGTTGATCTGTTCAGCGAGCTTGGCAATCAACTTGCAAGTCAGCCTTCAATCTCTCGGGCCACTTGTCTTGTGTCAACGGCGAATTGAGTTCAATTCGGTGACCTGTACCGATTACAGGCCTAGAGATAGATGATTAGACCCTGAATTCGATCACCGTTTGGTTAGGATCAAATTAAATGGCACGGATTTTTAAGCAAGCTCGCATTTCAATCCCTCTGTCAGTTCTATCGAAATACTTACCTCAGTATGTGAATCGCAAATTGCAATGAGTTGGAGTCACCTTTTAGATTGACGGCGGCGACATAGTCCGTGCATATGTATTTGCATACAATTGCGCTGCATTGCGATTCCGGGGCATGAAAACGTTCGATTGGACTGAAAGCACAACCATCAGTGCAAGGAGCATGGGTAAATGCTCTTTCTCGGGGGAAACTTTCGCTTTATCAATCAAAATGAAGTGCATTCCGATGAAATGGTTACGATATTTATTTGACCGCAACACGTCTTTCAGCAGTTCAGTATCCTTTTCGAGTGCATCCGAGGTGCGAATCTGTTTAGCTGTATAGACTGAAGTCGGCACCGTCGGACATACGGTTGTGCAGCCTGTCTTTCACTGACTTTATTGAATAAAATGCCACCATCTGTCACTGTCCAGGCCTCGAAATGTATTCGAATGTCATAAAATTCCCTATGCCATTCCACGTTACCTAATTTCATGACAAGTTTATAGCTGAAAGTGAGCTGATCATACATCCCAGTTGACAAACTCACAATGGGAAAATGGGGGTTGCTTTTGTGTGTCTTCACTACTATGTGACAGTGAAACCTCAACAGAATAATGTTGTACTCTATACTCTCCAGTGCAGGAAGAGCTGGATCACGCTTCGTGACATCCTACGTTTGGATTAGCCAGCTTGTAACATTCACCGTTATTCGGGATCTCTAGAGCATCCTCACACATCAAATTTATGCAAACGCACAGGTCTGATTCGGGTAGTGAGTGAGGAAGTATGCACACCAACCTAATCAATTCATTCCCCAATAGTATATTTAGAGGATTTGTGGAGTTGTTAAGGCAAACTGGCGAGTGATGTGATTTGTTTTTGTCGATAAATTAGGTTGTCCATGTTCCATTTAGTCTTAGATTCTGTTATACCAAAGGGGCTTATCCAAATTATATAGATGGTCTCTTATTGGTATAATGATAATTAAGTTATGGCTAAAGGTACGGTTAACCATATTGGTAGGCTGCGTAACAGGGACTTCAAATTGGTTAGTTGTGAGTAGATTTTGAGCTGTAGAGTCTTATGTTGCAAGCAAAGTTGAAGCAATAAACATTCATGCATAAGTGATTCGTTCTCTTTGGAACTCATGGGCAGTACGGATAACAAGAACTCCAGCAGAAAATCAATCCAATGACCTTCCAAATAAGTATTAGTGCACCCTTACATTCATCAAAACGAGATCAGCTCGCACCTGTGTTTGGTGCAGCATTCATGCACTTCACGTCCGAGGTTGATTGAATACGGACTTCACAAAATAGCCTCGTACGATTTCCAGAATGCTTTTCTATGTTTCTATAGAATACGCTTCTGCCCCGGAAATCCGAGAAGAGGCGAACAGCGGTTTCCTTCCTGTTGGAAACTATTAGTTAGGTAAATCTTACAGACCTCTGGGGTATCGTCAATTAATTGGGAAATATTTGGGACAGGTTAGGCAGTCATTGTTTCATAGAGGTTCCGTATGTTTACCGAATCTATCTGATTCGAATTCTAGGGCAGTTCAAACTCACAAAAATCCTAGTGGGAATTTAAAAATTGCCACTGACTTGAATGCAGCTTGGAATCTTGGCGGTTCACAAGTAGCCAGACAAGAATCGAATAATTGAGGTGTGCCGCTTGGCTTCCGCATAGGTGGACTCCATTTTCAGGCTGGTATCTAGATTTTATAAGTGCGGATAAGGGCAGCTAGGTGATGCGGCCATCCTATATCATCTCAGTAAGGACTGAATAAAACTGGACGTACACAGAAATTCCACACTGCGACAATTCGAGGCCCGTAATATTGAATCTGGAGCCTTTGTACCAAGGTACCAAGGAACATCAAACTAATACGTCATTCATTTACACTTGTGAGATCAGTTGGCTAAACAGAATTACGCATGACCGATGAAAGCATGTGAGTAGTTTTTGAAGGTGGCTGATAAGCACCACAATATCTTCATTTCAGGAGGCAATGTTTCCAACTAAAAGCAAACTGGTGAAAAACTAGTGTAATTCGAAACCAAACCTAATCATTTTCAGTAACTTTGAAGTGACAACCGGCTATCCATCTTCGGTTCCTAAAGCCTTGTTCATCCAGGCGGCGGGTCTTTGAGTCCACCATTATGAATATCAGCTAACCTTCCTGACCCACAAGTTTTACAAGGTTTTATGTATTTGAAAACTTCTGACCGACAATAGTTCCACATGTGACATTCCTACGTTGAAATGAAACAATTCAACATTCGGTTAGGAATACTGTCATCAGGTTCATGGGAAATTTTTGAAATGTTGATTTTCGCTTTGTCTATGTAGATTATATGAGCAGCTGCGTCAGTACCACCAAGTATCGTTTTCGTACACTTCATCTTTTTTCAAATGCTTATACTGTCATGTGTCATTTTTTCTGAAACAGAAGTCATCGCTACATTCCTTGTCTCGTCCGTGGACCGGACTGAATGAATGAAACCTTTAGAGTTGAAACATGTGAATGTACATTCAGACAAACACACACGCACACACACCAGTTTCGTTCGCTCAAACAAGAAGTAGTGATTTGTCCACAAATGTCTGCATAATAATGAGTAGGAGTTGAGTGGCATGTAAGGAGAAACTGCGTGAATAGTTATTAGGAACACTGGGTGTGCAATGTTCCGGAAAAAAAACTTGGAAAAATGTTAGCCCTTTAATTTAAACCCTACGCAAAGATTGTAGACTTTTGATAGGACTAAGTTTCTTCCCACGCGGGAACTTATTTTTAGTAGAAACGACTTTCATGGCGCGGAATTGTTCATCGCTTTCATTCAATCTGGGAACATCGGAAAACAAGAAAAACGGAGGACAAGCAGCTGTAATGTTTGGATGCGAATTTTGTGGGTTTGAATATTGCAGAATAAAATACAACATGCCTTTCAACCCCAAGCAAATATTTCGGCCCAGAATGGGTTTTGACTCGTGGTTAAAGCTGGGCAACGACCAGGGACAAACTAGCTATGGACAGGAAGAGATTAAATGTTTCTGATCGAGACGACGTAGTGTGTAGTTGAACTAAACAGTAAACCACCGCCACATGCTGCTTCCAGTTCAACAAAATGGTAGTCAGACCAGCTAGATAAACTTGGATGTGATCAAACAAACAACAGCGCCATCGTCTACACAGTTTCAGCAACTGGGGCGGGGGCGAATAATGGACCCAAAGACTTTCTCAGTTGATGAAACGTCTCAAAATCCTAGTAGTTTTTTACTGGTTTGATGTGGAATATCCGCATCAAAGTTTGTGGTAAGTTTAACCTTTGGCGCTACCGCATTGGGTTTAGAGGTAGCTTTCATGTGGAGATTGTTGAACCTTAATGCTAATCATGAAACGGAGACTTCCGGCAGCTTTTTTGTACCTCAAAAGCTGCACATATAGAGACGGATTCCGTTCAGATGTGAAACATCTACAAGGTATACTGTTGACTCTTACATTCATCTGGCACATGAAACAGACAACTCCCCTTCCAATCGTTTCTTGTCTTACGGTGCTTCATATACACATCCTGTCTTGCTCCTCAAACGACGAACGGAATGTATAAAAGCCAAATAACACCAACATGGAGTCGTAACTTACTGCTTACTAGAAAACACGAGACTTGTTTCCGAAATATCAATCACCTGAGCCTTTGATATTGGTCAGTTCCTCTGTGAAGACTGATGACCTGCATTTAAGCGCTTATTCAGCTGTAATCAGTTTAGTGTCTAAAGTAGCAGCCGAACTGCACCAATTTTTATTGCGTTCTCCCTCATCCCTATCAGTTTTTCGCTTAGGGAAAGTGAGTGGCAAATTTACATAAAATTCCTACATCAGTGCAACAGATGATGTCACCTGCTGCGAACCAGTACTATTATCATCAAACAAGGTCTTCGGAAAACAAGTATAAATATTGTTTGTATAGCACTCAGCAATTTCGCAAACGATTAGTGTTATTGGCAGGTGAGCAGTTGGTTTGTTCGTTCAGCTTTGCAAAGGTGGACCGCAGACGTCTCTCGCTCATACAAAGGAAATTATTAGTAGGTGCTTGAATGGAAATTTGATTTTCTTCTGTTTGCATTTGTATAGTTTCCATAGAGTATACTGTATCTTTACCGTGATTGGTAGCGTCAGGGAGACTTTCGTTTGACCTGAATGGTCCTTTTGAAATCTGTGTCGTGTTTCCCGATTTTTAACTCTCATGACTTTGTTGTAAATCCACAGTCATTATCTTGCAAAACACAACGATCTGGTCCAGGTTTAAGTTCACTAAACCCCAGAAACAAGATCACATCACTGATATTGGGTTGGTCTTATCGTAGAATTGATGTGGTAGTGTACAGTTACAGTAAATACAAATTACGGCAAAATACAATATTCGATTTTTTTTAAGCCAATGGGCGGCCGATATTTATACTTTTGACGTTCTGTTCTATAAAACTCCAGATAACTTTGAGATGCAGTTTTTTTCGCGCGCATCTGACCTCAGTGTTATCGCTAGGACTGCTATACTGAACACTTATCAGTGACCGTTGCGGGTTGACAAACACATATTTCCACTAGTTAAACTTATTTATCTCAATTTATCAGCATTGATTTATTGGTTATCTGTCACCATTTAGCTAGAGTATCTCGACTTTTTCAGTAATGTCAGCTTAAGATCAGAATATCCATTAGGGCAATATTTGTTACTCGTTGATCCAAATAAGTTTGTGGCTAATTAGATAGGACTTGACTAAAAAGCTACTATAGCGACTACATGAAATGGGGGATATATTTATGGAGATACTACTGAGATAGAATTAATCCAATATGGATTGCGACTACCGAAATTCCCTTTTGATACCGACACCATATGCCAGGATGTGAAGTAGTTGGTCGCTGTCATAATGCTCCAAAGAAAAAAAGCTTAAACTGTCTCTTCAGTGTAAAGCCGACATTACACCAATTAGATAAACACTAAAAACCCACGGATTTATGGCCGACCACTCATCAGAATCATTTCAGATGCGAACACATTGGAGCTTAGTGTCCAAGCCCTGTTTTCCGTAGCAAATCTCTCCACAAGCAACCAAGTTTATTTATTGCCGTGCGCTAATTGGTGA